TGAAGGATTTGCTTTGTATAAACCCGTCAAAATATTCAACAGGACCTTTCACTGTATAGTGATATAGTGTTTTCTTTATATGCCTTACTTAACACTTTACTCATTTTTATACACTGTAGACTTCTAGCTTCACTGAAGTCCTAGAAAGATGGAGCAACTGTATGTATGATACATGCAGTTTGATTTATTTTTTGATAATTTATTTGTGTTGCCTGCAGAGCTGGCGGACACTTAGGGATCACTTTGTCCGTCGTCATGCATCGTTGTCGTCGTCGTCCGTACGAAAGTTTTCCGGACTTTTTTTGGTAATGCTTTGAGTTATCAAAATGAAATTCGGTATATGGCTTCTTGTTGCAAGGGTACAGATTAAGTTATGCCCCTTTGAACCTAGAAAATTCTCTGGGAATATTGTTTTCTTGACTTTCTTTGGTTTTGCTTTGAGTTATAGAAATGACATTTGCTATATGCTGTCTGTGACCCTTCTTGGCTGAGTTATGCCCCTTTGAACTCAAAAAATTCTTTGGGAATATTGTTTTGCAGATATTTCCCAATTATGCTTTGAGTTAACATAATGAAATGTTGTATATGACTTCTTGGTGGCAGATTACAGATCAAGTTCAATTCTCAGCTCTCTGTGACTCTTCCTGACCCATTGAACTCAAATTCTTTATGAATATTGTTTTCTGGAATATTCTTGGTTATGCTTCAAGTTATGAAAATGCAATTTCTGGATGACCGTGACACTTTATACAGGCGACACATACAGTTTGATTTCCTCAGTTGCCTCCAAGGTTGCAACACTTCATACCCATAGCAGTCAGTGTGAGATGTAGGTTCTTAGACTTCAGTTGGTTGAATGTTGATATTTACTCAGATATCATGTTTGTGAGATATTCTTCTGAAGTCCTGAAAAGCTGAGAATAATGGTACCTGGCTAGTACGGTACCTTTCTAAGATCTGGCCTTCAACTTGGGATTAAGTCTTAGGATCTTGTCTGCCACTGGGGATTAAGTCTTAGGATCTTGTCTGCCACTGGGGAATAAATCTTAGGATCTTGTCTGCCACTGGGGAATAAGTCTTAGGATCTTGTCTGCCACTGGGGATTAAGTCTTAGGATCTTGTCTGCCACTGGGGAATAAGTCTTAGGATCTTGTCTGCCACTGGGGAATAAGTCTTAGGATCTTGTCTGCCACTGGGGATTAAGTCTTAGGATCTTGTCTGCCACTGGGGAATAAGTCTTAGGATCTTGTCTGCCACTGGGGAATAAGTCTTAGGATCTTGTCTGCCACTGGGGATTAAGTCTTAGGATCTTGTCTGCCACTGGGGAATAAGTCTTAGGATCTTGTCTGCCACTGGGGATTAAGTCTTAGGATCTTGTCTGAAACTGGGGATTAAGTCTTAGGATCTTGTCTGCCACTGGGGAATAAGTCTTAGGATCTTGTCTGCCACTGGGGATTAAGTCTTAGGATCTTGTCTGCCACTGGGGATTAAGTCTTAGGATCTTGTCTGCCACTGGGGATTAAGTCTTAGGATCTTGTCTGCCACTGGGGATTAAGTCTTAGGATCTTGTCTGCCACTGGGGATTAAGTCTTAGGATCTTGTCTGAGACTTGGGATTAAGTCTTAGGATCTTGTCTGCCACTGGGGATTAAGTCTTAGGATCTTGTCTGCCACTGGGGAATAAGTCTTAGGATCTTGTCTGCCACTGGGGATTAAGTCTTAGGATCTTGTCTGCCACTGGGGATTAAGTCTTAGGATCTTGTCTGCCACTGGGGATTAAGTCTTAGGATCTTGTCTGCAACTTGGGATTAAGTCCTGCAATGGATTGCCAGAAGGGACATAAATCCTACTATCATAAGATTTATTCCTGGTATCTGGATTGACACAGCAAAAGGGGAGTATTTTTGTGGTATTCTGTAAATTATGAAATGAGGGTGAAAAATTACTGATTTAATAAAGGAACCTTGTTCTCATAGTAGTGTACAAATTTATCAGTGAGGAAAAGGGGAATTTTCCATAGAAATTGGTGATTTTTTTGTGAATTTTTCATGGAGTGGAAACTACCCATAAACAGCAGCAAAATAAACCTAGATTTGGCCATGTGTACAAAATTGTAATTTGGGCTTGAGAGATATTGCAAGTTTCTGGTTTCTCAAGAACATGTCTGTTTCCTTACGGTCTGGTCCCAAACCTATACTTTAACTGTTTTATTATACGTGTACTGTTACAAACTCAATATATTTTCACTCAAAAATACACGCTAACATCAGCTATGGATCTGTCCTCCAGATTTCCCTTTGATGGAATGCAGTTTGTAACCAAAGACACTGAATTGGAAAGAGAAAGTGTCATTTGCACATCATAGACACGTTAGTTAACAAGTTCCAATCACCTCGAGTCATATGTACATTGTCAGTGTTTTTGGTAGCAAGCTCCTTCCTCTTCTCATCTGATTAACTCCAAGGAAACACCCGAGTGCAAGTGTGTTTTAGTTTTGCATGTGTATTTTAGTTTTCGGATTAAAACATAGAACTAAAACACAGCTAAGCAAAGTCTAGGTTAAACTTAAGACCTTACTGATCTAAAAAGAATAAAGTAGAGATATATTGATAAATAATTACACCTGTAAACTATTATTGAGGTTTACTACTATTAAGTTCTTTTGAATGGTCGATGGTGCTATAGTAATAATCCTTCCATTTCAATTAGACTTCTGAGTTTCACTTTCCAGAACGGATGTGAAAATATATGGTGTCATCTACGTATACCCAACCACTTGGGTCCCTCTGTGCTCTCCAGTTTCCTCCTATAGTAAGACCCCTCTAGTGCTCTGTCTGAGCCAGCAAGAATAATGATATAAGATGTAATAACTTGTTTTGCAATTGTTGTAAAATAAACTTTAATTTCAGCTGTTTTGATAGTAATTCTATATCTAAAGTGTTATGACATCTTGAATCAATCATTTTAAAACAAATGTGTCCCTGAATCTTCATATTCTTCACTTATTTGTACTCCGAATTTACTTGATTAAAAATGGAAAGGCACGATTATTCCTTCCTATATCTACACTTCCATGAAAAATTGTGATTTATACAAGTCAGGAAAAAAGCTAACTGGAATTTGTATTTTTGCTGATCACCATGGCGACAGGGCCTGGGAGATTCATCGTAAGTGGATTAGGATACTGGTAACAAGATCTGGGTCTCTCCAGTAGTGCTTCATTTGACACACAAGTGGCAGCGAGTAATAGACTAGCTGTGATGAGAAGCCTTTCTGGTCACCACACCTTAACCCGGGACGTGTTCTGGACAGTTGCCTGTACATGATATTAAATGGCTTGGTTCCTCAGTTTGATGTCAGCGCTTCCTAACTTAAAACATAATTTTCCACATAGAATTTTTCCTTTTGCTTAATTTTCCCTATTGCTAGGTGTTGGCTCACTCACAATTCTAGGTTTGCTGTTGAAATACTGATAGCACATTTTACTTGTAGTCAGATGGATGCAGATTTAGAATTAGCATGGCTAATGATCAATTTCCCTCCCTTCATTAAATTCTAATTTCTATATTTGGTTGTGTCTGTGATATGGAATAATTGATCAAAACTCTTGGTATAGAATGACATATCAGTGTCTGTGATATGGAATAATTGATCAAAACTCTTGGTATAGAATGACATATCAGTGTCTGTGGTATAGAATAATTGATCAAAACCCTTGGTATAGAATGACATATCAGTGTCTGTGATATAGAATTATTCATTTGTGTCAGTGGTGTAGAATGATTTATCTAAACCTATGGTATAGAATGATTTATCTGAGTCTGTAGTATATAATGATTTATCTTAGTCTGTAGTATAGAATGATTTATCTGAGTCTGTAGTATAGAATGATTTATCTGAGTCTGTAGTAAAGAATGATTTATCTCTGTGGCTGTGGTTTAGAATGATTTATCTCTGTGTCTGTGGTATAGAATGATTTATCTGACTCTGTAGTATAGAATGATTTATCTGACTCTGTAGTATAGAATGATTTATCTTAGTCTGTAGTATAGAATGATTTATCTCTATGTCTGTGGTATAGAATGATTTATCTGACTAGTATAGAATGATTTATCTCTATGTCTAAGGTGTAGAATGATTTATCTGACTCTGTAGTAAAGAATGATTTATCTCTGTGGCTGTGGTTTAGAATGATTTATCTCTGTGTCTGTGGTATAGAATGATTTATCTGACTCTGTAGTATAGAATGATTTATCTGAGTCTGTAGTATATAATGATTTATCTCTGTGTCTGTGGTATAGAATGATTTATCTCTGTGGCTGTGGTATATAATGGTTTATCTGACTCTGTAGTATAGAATGATTTATCTCTATGTCTAAGGTGTAGAATGATTTATCTGACTCTGTAGTATAGAATGATTTATCTCTATGTCTAAGGTGTAGAATGATTTATCTGACACTGTAGTATAAAATGATTTATCTCTGTAGCTGTGGTTTAGAATGATTTATCTCTGTGTCTGTGGTATAGAATGATTTATCTCTGTGTCTGTGGTATAGAATGATTTATCTGACTCTGTAGTATAGAATGATTTATCTGACTCTGTAGTATAGAATGATTTATCTCTATGTCTAAGGTGTAGAATGATTTATCTGACACTGTAGTATAGAATGATTTATCTCTGTAGCTGTGGTTTAGAATGATTTATCTCTGTGTCTGTGGTATAGAATGATTTATCTCTGTGGCTGTGGTATAGAATGGTTTATCTGAGCCTTTAGTGTAGAATGACTTATCTGAATCTGTGATACAAATTATTTATTTGTGTCTGTGGTATAGAATGATTTAACATTGTTATTAATCTGTACCTCCAAAAGTGAGAATGTTCTGTAAACTGATATCTAACAAATTATTAACACCAATGAGTCTACTAACATCAGAATACCTACCATTCTTTTTAACCACCACAGATTGCTTTGACACATTTGATATTTGTATGTTTTTCAGATTGCATGGACAAAGCTGAAGAGTCAACCCATAAGTATAGTAAGTATGAAGATAAAAGACACACCTCCCCTCCCAGGTAGATGAGGTAGTAGACTACACCTCCAAATAGAAAGGTCTGACCACAGCAAAGGGGGTAACTTATACCTTCCAGTCAGAGGGGTGTATCCATTGGGATGGAGCACCTTTGAGTGACCATCTCAGCAATGGTAATTCTGAGGGATAATGGTTGAAAGTGCAGTCAGTAATTGAGAAAGTGACCACTCTCAAACCACTGTAGACAGTATTGGGTGGGATTATATTAATGTATGTACCATAGTCTTTATCTTTTCAGGTAAGTGCAAGCAGTGAATTAGATGATGGTGGGTCAGGGGCCAGGGTAGGACATTGGTAGGTCAGGGGATGGAGGGGGAACAGAGAAGTGATGGATCAGATTGTAAAGCAGTGGTGGGTCACAGGAGAGGTTAGGACAGAGGTGGGTCGGGGAACAGTGGTGTGTCGGAGGACAGTGGTGTGTCGGGGAGGGGATAGTAAGTGGTGTGTCAGGGACAGTGATGTTCAAGGGGATAAGGAAAGACAGTTTTGAGTCAGGGGACAGTTGTGTGTCATGGAAGGGGATAGTTAGTGGTGAGGCTGGGACAATGGTTTGTCATAGGAGGGGATAGTGAGTGGTGAGGCAGGGACAGTAATGTTCAAGGGGATGAGGAAAGGAAGTTGTGAGTCAGGGGAATGGGTAGGACAGTTATCTCAGGGAACATTGGTGTGTCAAGGGAGGGAAAAGTGAGTTGTGTGTCAGGGGCAGGGAGGGGGTAGGACAGTGGTGTGTCAGGGGAGGGGGTAGGACAGTGGTGTGTCAGGGGAGGGGGTAGGCCAGTATTTGATCAAGGGGACAGTGATAGGTAATGTGAAAAGTGGTATGTCAGGGGAGAGGGTAGGAAAGTTTTTGATCAAGGGGAGAGTTGTGACACAGGGGAGGGGGTAGAACAGTTTCTGGTCAAGGGGACAGTGGCATGTTTGGGAGGGGATATAAAGACAGTGGTGAGTCAGGGGAGGGAGAAGGATAGTGGTAAGACAGTGGTTGCTCAGAAGATTACATGATATAAATACTGCTGTTAGAATATTTTAAATGGGTTCTTTAAATTTTTAATGATATATTTATAGCAATATACTGATTCATAATTTCACTCACACAGATAAAAGGTGTATTGGCATTTCTTGTGTTCCTTTAAAGGGTATGAAGCTAAAGTAAATACAGAATTTTTATGGTTGTATAATTTACATGTATAATACATGCAGTCAGACACTAACAATGACACGTCATTTTGTCTATAACCTGTTTATAAAATTTAATGTACAAGCCCTCCTAGTTCTACTTACACTTGTATTGGTGATACATATCAGGTTACTTTTCATTTGAAACTAAATTAAATAATCTTTCCACACTGTAATACACTGGGACAGCAGTAAATCATTTGGTTAGAGCATTGATCTGCATAACTTCAGGTGACGATACAAGTTACATATTTTGACACTCACTACCAGTTGAAGATTATGTTTCTCGGAAAGTTGAGAAATAGGCCAGTCAGTGTTGACCTTCTTGTCCCCTTAAGCAAGACACTTTACCTAAATTGCTCTAGACCACAAAGGGTCTCCCACATGTTGTTCATTTAGGTAGCCACCGATTACTTCCACAAGACCTTGTCTCAAAATGACTCTGGCTGTTCAGAAGGTGTAAAACCCAGCAAAACAAAAAATAAATGTATAGTAATGTAGCCTATGTATTTTTTTGTACAAACATTTGTTTTTTTTTCAGTACTTGGATGAAGTTATTTTAGAAATTGAAACATGTGATGAACCAAGACCTCCAAACAACCCAGCACATTTAGCCAGTTACAGGTAATCACATACTAATTATTTACAGGTAATTATCTAATACCTAGATATTTACAGGTATTTATCTAATACCTAAATATTTACAGGTAATTATCTAATACCTAGATATATACAGGTATTATCTAATACCTTATTTACAGGTAATTATCTAATACCTAGATATTTACAGGTAATTATCTAATACCTAGATATTTACAGGTATTTATCTAATACCTAGATATTTACAGGTATTTATATAATACCTAGATATTTACAGGTGATTATCTAATACCTAGATATTTACAGGTATTTATCTAATACCTAAATATTTACAGGTAATTATCTAATACCTAGATATTTACAGGTAATTATCTAATACCTAGATATTTACAGGTAATTATCTAATACCTAGATATATTTACAGGTAATTATCTAATACAGGGTAATTATCTAATACCTAGATATTTACAGGTAATTATCTAATACCTAGATATTTACAGGTAATTATCTAATACTAATACAGGTATTTATCTAGATATTTACAGGTAATTATCTAATACCTAGATATTTAATTATCTAATACCTTTACAGGTAATTATCTAATACCTAGATATTTACAGGTAATTATCTAATACCTAGATATTTACAGGTAATTATCTAATACCTATTTACATATTTACAGGTATTTACAGGTAATTATCTAGATATTTACAGGTAATTATCTAATACCTAGATATTTACAGGTAATTATCTAATACCTATCTAATACCTATAATTATCTAATACCTAGATATTTACAGGTAATTATCCTAGATATTTACAGGTAATTATCTAATACCTAGATATTTACAGGTAATTATCTAATACCTAGATATTTACAGGTAATTATCTAATACCTAGATATTTACAGGTAATTATCTAATACCTAGATATTTACAGGTAATTATCTAATCTGTATACCAGGATATTTACACCTAGGTTATTTTTACCTTGTTCTGTTCTACACAAATACGCCTCTTGTTCATTATGACCTCAGGGGATTATATGAAAGGGTTATATAATGCAAATTCATCTTCTTTCATGAGGCTTAATTTTCAAGGATTTTCAAAAATTAACTCTGTCATGGACAGTGATTTTATAGATAAATAGATTGATAAATAGATAGATAAATAGATTGATAAATCTGTTTACACTTATTATAATTGTTTGTGGAATATGAATTCATGGATTAAGAGGACCCATGAAATCAACAAAAATAAATACCCATAAAAATTAATGATTTTACAGAAAGCGTGACAAATTTTCACCCCACCTTAATTTCACCCTCTCTGTTCATGGCCTACATGGGGCAGTCTCCAGGTACTGGCCGAGGGTTGGTGATTTTTACTCAATGGGCTATGATTTTCCTTACCTTCTCAAACCTGGAACATTCTTAACTGACTCTGCTCGTTAATCGGATGTAAGGCAGTGATAAACCTAAACCTGACAACAGGGGATTTCATTTCAGTAATAATTACCATAACTTTAGTATGCAAATACAGTACCTACACCCATCTTTGTATCCCAACAACAAAAGATTCAAAAGAAAAACAATCCCGCCCTCCCTACGATCCATGAGCCATCACGCAGGAATGCAGAGTGATCTCCCTTCCTCTTACCTTTATGGCTGCCGACGAGTGCGGAGGTGTCTGAGCTAAGTGCTTTTCTTACTCCTTCTCTTCGTACTGCCATTGTCGTTTGAGTATATTGTTACTCTATTAGTAGTCTATAAACCCATCTCCCAACTTATATTGTGAAATTAAGTATTGTCATTTGTTTATTTTGACCGTATTTCCGGCCGTTTTTTCCTCCACGTATTCGAGTGCGTGACTACTTGTCTCGTTGCTCGGATTTGCGTGAAGTTGGAAATTGTTTTCTTGCTGCTTTGTCGGCCGTGTTGTACGGCCATTTTATTTATGCAGTGCAATCTTGCTGCGTACGGTAGGCTTTGTGCTCTCGTTCGTAGTTTTTTGATTGTTCGAGAACTTCGTTTCCGGCCGTGTTTTTCCTCCGCGTGTTCGAGTGCGTGACTACTTGTCTCGTCACTCGGATTTTCGTGAAGTTGAAATTGTTTTCTTGCTGCTTTGTCGGCCGTTTTGTACGACCGTTTTCTTTTTTTTGCAGTACAATCTTGCTGCATACGGTAGGTTTTATGATCTCGTTCGTAGTTTTTTGATTGTTAGAAAACTTTTTATCCTTGTTTCATTGTTACAATTTTTTATTGTTTCGATGCTGGATAAAGGTGCCGGGTTTACGTTGGGGTCAGCGCATGGATGTTCCTATTTCTATAGATAATGGGAACCCCATGATACCTGTCCCATTTGCCGACATTGCAGCCAGACCTCACTATGTGAACTTTGTTTGCACATGGAGTCTGCTGCTTAGGCTCCCATGCCTTTCCAGCTAACTTTCCGCCGGAAGAAGGATTCGTCCTCTTCTTCCGGTAAGGGAAGTAAGCTTTTTAAGACCTCCCTCCTGAAGTTCTGAACCAGAGCGTTCCTGCTGGGGGTGCTCTCGTTCCACCGAGCTCCGCCCTTCAGCAGGGGATGGCTCCCCCTGTCCAGGTGCGTCCTGGAGTAGGGGGAGGGGGGGGGGCAGCCCGACCCTGACTCGGCGCAGTCAAGGGTCGAATTGGCCGGTAGCTCTCGATAGGCGGCGGTGTTACCATCGGAAAGGGACTTCCGGTCGAGGTCTCTGATTCCTTCAGGGACCTCGGCACGCCAGGTGGCGTCGTTGGTGGGGGCCGCTTTGACTCCGGAACTGTGCCTTCGGGTATAGGGTCAGGGGCCACAGACTTTTTGTCAGGATTGTCTGTGGCTACGGGGATTAGTGACACTTGAGTTCACTAATCCTGGTGTCAGCGCGGGGTCTGTTTTCCCACCCTCACAGGCTTCTGGCTCTGGGACTTCCGTCCCAATCCAGATTTCCCAGTGCAGGGTTTCCCAGGGGGTTTTCCTCCAAGGGTTTGGGGCTTCAGGCCAGGAGTCCGGTTTCCGGTCTCCCTTTCCCCCGGGCTCAGGGAGTAGGGGTGCCTGCGGGCACTTATTCCTGGGTCGCCCAGGCCAACCTGCGGATGGTTTTGGGTACCTACAGTTACTCAGCAGTTACGGGCTTAGCCCGTACATGTCTGGGTTTCCACCTGGTGGGAGTGGTGGTTCATCCTGGTCCTTTGAACAGGATGTCCAGCCCCAGACTCAGGCAGGCCATCTTGGCCAGTTCTGGGGTCACTCCCGGCCCGCTGGACCGTTCCCATTCCCTCAGGGGTTTGGGTTTTTACCCCATGGGTCTTCACTCGTGGAACCCATAGGGGTTGGTCTCTCCTCTAGGAGATGTTATAGCAGTGCGGAATCCCCCCAATGTTCTGCTACTTCGGGGGCCTTGTTGGCCGGTCCTATAAAGGTTTGCCAGACCTTAAGGACTTCCGCCTCCAGCGCGGACCTGTCGGTCTCCTGTTCCCAGGGGTCAGCTTCGGGTCTCCGACCCAAGCCTACAGCTACAGCTGTTGGTCGCACTGCGTCCAAATGCCATAAAGAGGAGTTCCCCTCTGCGGAGATGGCTCCTCTGGCGGCCCCTGTTCCTCCCAAGGGGACTTCGGTCTCTATTGAGGAGGAGATGGACATCGAGGGTGCGGGCTCGGCAGAGGAAGACGATGTCATTCATCTTTCTCCTGGGCCAAGAGGGTTCACAAGGGGAAGATGGCCCTGAGACTGCTGAAGCCGAGGCTCAGCATGTGCTTTCTGGGATGCGGGTCCTCCGGGCCAACATCTCCCGGATTCTCAGGGCGGAGGTTTGCCCACCGCCTCAGCATCATCGGCGCCTGAATCCACCATCCTTCTGGGTTCCCTGGTGGCTCCTCGGGCTTCCGTTCGCTCAGATCGGTCTCTGCCAGAAGGCAATATCATGTCTTCGGTTCTGGCCACGGCCCGGGCTCCGGTTTTAGAGAAGGACTCCTTCTCTACCCGTGCTCCCGGGTTTGTCGGTCTGCAGCTCAGTGTTGGTGAATTGTCGGAGGCTTCAGCTTCCGACTATGCCACACATGATGGGCAGCTGGCCTCTCAACCAGCACAGCTGGAGTTGAGACAGCTGGCTGCCTGGCCCGGCAAATCAGTGGACCAGGTGGTGCTCGATCCCAAAGAGCACCACAGGATGGAGAGAATGTTGCACCTCTCCATCCAAGTTCTGTCATACATAGACTTCCTGACAGTTTGTCTATACAGGGTATCCGATTTGCCTGAGTGTCGGTTATCCGAGACAGAACAGCCAACATACAGAACACGGCAGCCTTGCAGGTTCTCTGCTCGTCAATGCCGTGTTGGCTAGGCAGTTTTCAGTTCTGAAATTCCGCCCAGTCCAGTAACCCTACCGTTTCCGCTTGTTGAATGCCCCCTTCTAGGGCTCTACCCTGTTCAGGGGAGCTCTTCCTTGGGTTCAGAAGGATATGAAGGAGGACTCGGTCGCCTCAGCACTTCTGGTGAAGAGGTTTCAGGCTGAGAAGGCCAGTGCCTCGCAGGGGTCAGTGCCTCCTAAGAAGGTGAAGTCTTCGGCTGCTCAGTTTTCTGCACAGCCCAAGTCCCAACCTCACTTCAACGGCAACAAGGGGAAGGGTAGGAAGGGTAAGAAACCTCCTGGGGGCAAGAAGAAGGGTTCCTGACTATTTCTGCTTCTTGGCCGCGAAAGGCGAAGGGTATGGCCGGGTGGACGGTGGTTCTCCTTTCCCGGGCTCATGTCCTTCTCCCGCAGGCTCTGGCTCCAGGTGGGCAGACGATTCTCTGGTCTGGCAGGGGCTCGATCTGCCCCATCCGGAACTCCCTGTGGGCGGACGTCTCTCTGCTTTCCTTTCCCAGTGGCAGGATATTACAGAGGACGCTTTTGTCGGTGGTCAGGGAGGGTCTAGGTATTCCCCTTCTTCAGGATTCGTCCCTCGCCTCCTGGCCGTTTTTGTTTCTTTCCTCCTCCCGGGGATTCAGAAAGGGCACGGGTGCTCCAGGAGGAAGTAGGGACCATGCTGCCAAGGCAGAGATGCCCTTGGGGCTCACGACAGCTCCTTTGGTGTTCACCAAGTTGCTGCTGGTGTTTCCTTCACTCACGCAGAATAGACGTCCACATCTATTTCGACGACTCCCTCATGCCTCTTTTGGTGTGGGAATCGTTAGTCAAGGACACTCGTCTGGTACTGAAACTCTTGCTCAGAGTCGGCTTCATTCCTTCCAGAGAGAAGTCAGAGGTTCCTTCATATTAGGACTTCTTCTTCCTGGGGAACCATTTTGACATGGTTCGGGGCTTAGCCCTTCCACATCTGGAGAAGTTTGAGAAGGTCAGGGCTCTGGCTCTGACTTTCATCACTTGGTCGCTTGTCCAGGTACATTGGTTCCTCAGTTTTCTGGGGTATCTCAACTCCTTGGCATATGTGGTCCCCCTAGGGAGGATTCACATCGGACCTCTCCAGATGTTCCTCCTGTCTGACTGGGTTCCGTCATCCAGGAGGCCTGGATCCCGCTTACCCAGTTGGTCAGGGAGTTCTCTTGCTGGTGGACCATTCAGGAGAACGTTTTCCACGGGGTACCTCTGACCAAGCCTATCCCCTCTATGATCCTGTTCATGGACGCGTTCATGACAGGAATGTGAGCTTACCTCGATGGCCAATGCCGCTTGGGGGAGTGGTCTGGCGAACAACTCTCAGAGCACATCAGTGTACTCGAGATGAGACTGTTCATTTGGCTCTGCAGTCCTTTAGGGGTATCCTGCAGTCCAAAGTGTGGCTACCGACAACAGTTGTCGCGTATCTGGAGAGACAGGGGCCACCAGGTCTCATGTCCTGTGTGCCCTCTCCATCCACATCCTTCTTCTCTGCCAGGACATGCAGTTGACCATAGCGGTCAAGCATCTTTCTGGCAGGCTGAGTGTGTTGGTGGCCACTCTCCAGGCGCCACCAGCCGGTGTTGACGGAATGGCAGCTGTGTCCCTTGATTTTCAAGGGGAATTGTCAGGCGTGGGACAGACCTATTATAGACCTGTTTGCCACTTCCCTGAATAACCAGCTGCTAACCTTCGTCGCCCCGGTCCCAGACCGTAAGACGTGGGCTGTGGACGCCCTTTCTCTGGAATAGGAAGGGACGTATGCATATGCATTCCCTCCCTTCAACCTGGTGGGCAGGGTTCTACAGAAGTTCTGGGAGCATCACTGCTCCTTACTTCTGAGAGCCCCTCTGTGGCCGAGGCAAGCTTGGTTTCAGGAGCTCTTGTCGTTTCTGGTGGAGGAGCCCTTGGCTCTCCCCACCAGACCGAATCTCCTTCGCCAGCCTTGGCCCAGAACGACACACTCTTGACCAGAGATCCTCCACCTTCACGCGCTGAGGCTATCTCTGGAAGCCACGCCAAGGCAGGCTTTTCTCAAGAGGTGTCAGATTGCATTGAGCAATCAATCAGGGCTTCCTCTTCTGCCGTCTA